GATTTCATTTTTGTTGGAGCCTATCCATGTCTCTCTATTGTCATAAAAATTCAATAGGAAACTTCTATAAAAGAAGAGGCATAATTAAAAAGACAGAGGGACAGCGCCAGCAGAGGTTGAAGATTAAAGACCAAGAGGCTGGCGCAGGCGGGGGAGATTTTATGAGCTACCGAAGAAAGGAAAACGCGGCGCAGAAAATGTGCCCAGGGCACCCCGTCCCGGCTGCCTGAGGAGAGGCGCGCCGTGCAGGCTGGGGCACTGGTCCCCGAAGCGGGGGACAGGCACTGGGGGCCCCTGCCCCGCCGGCTCCGCGGCTATCCTGCTCAGCGTGAGGCTGTGCACAGGCGCTGGCCAGAGAGGGGCTCAGACCCCCACCAAACGTTGCTGCTGCTGCCCTGGGAAGCCTGATGCAGGAACACCCAAGGCAGCAGAGCCCGGGCCACGTTGGAGTCAGCACGCTGGCGACAGGACAGACCCTCCAGTTTCCTGAACCAGGGTGTCATCTGCAGCTCCAGGACCCCAGGCCCATGCAGAGGGTCTGGGCTGTGGGAGGGGACAGGGTAGCCCAGAGGCCATTCCCATCCAGGCCTGACACCCAGACTCTTCCCACAGCTACAGCCACAGCCACAGCCGGGCTGGCAGGCCGTGAAAGCAACATCCTGCTAGGACCGGCCTGGAAACCCGCCCTGATTACCTCAAGGGAAGGAAATTGGCCTCCGACAGGAAGCGTCGGGCGGCTTTGGCACTTGAAGTTTCTTGCCACGAAGATATATTGATTTAAAAAAAACTAATTATGACAAAATGATCCTATTGTTGAAAAGGATGGTGAAAGAGTTCTGCAGACACTTCATAAATGGAAAGATAGCACAGGGGACACACCACAGCCTCTTACATTCATGTGCCATAAGGCTTTTAAAACATACAATACCTGATTTCTTAGGGCACTGACCTCCTTTCCTTAGATTGTCAAATAAAAGAATGACAACAGCCAACACAACAATAGCTGTCCAGTGTGTACGAATCAAAATTATACCCACTTTTTCTTGTGGATCGGCAAAATAAAGTATTTTTTGGTGCGCTGCAGAGTTTTAGTGATTAGTTCATATGTCATGAGATGAAAAGGTGGAAAATCACTGGACTAGTAGATACATTTTCTCTGTACCCAGCACCCTTAGGGACGGTGATGGAATTGTGTGTCTTTAACTTCAGCAAGAAAAGCAGGAGTGTGAGGTGAGTGCAGGCCTGGGCTGGGAGGTGGGAGGTGAATCTAGGCTTTCCTCTCATCTCAATAATAAAGAATTGGGACCTCTTTCAGAAATTCGACATGTACAATGAAGAAAAAGAAATGAATCAAAATAATAGTTATAAAAACAATGATGGCTCACACGGATAGTATTTTCTACATGTCAGGAACTATTTGAGAATTTCATATATAACTAGAGGCCCAGTGCACAAAATTCCTGCACAGATGATGGGGTCTCTAGGCCTGGACAGTGATCAGGGCCCATTAGGTTCCCTGCCTCCCCGCCTCCTCCTTATCTCACCACCAATGTGCCCCTGTGGGTCACCCGCCAGGTTCTGTGACACCCCCTGGTGGTCAGTACATGTCATAGCGAGCAATCAAACTCCCGGTCTCCCAAACTCCCAAGGGGACACATTTTGCATATTAGCTTTTTATGTATAGAGACAGCTGATATAATCCTAATAACAACACTATGAAATAGATGTCATCATAGCTTATTTTACAGGTGAGGAAATTGATGCCCAGAGAGGTTAAGTAATTTGCCCCGGTCACACAGCTAGTACATGTTTGCACTGGGATTGAAGAAAGCTGCCTGCCTACAGAGTCCACACATTTCTATACCTCTATGATATGCGTCCAAAGCATTTAGAGTTTCAAATTCTTTTATTTGGAAAGTTCAGATGACAGTAGATAAAATATCCACAGATCCTAATGGATACATGTGAAATCTCAGGACTCTCCTGGTCCCGTTCTCCCCACACATAAAACTCCAACTATCAACATGGTGATAAAGACAAAGCAGAGACAAACACAAGGTTCGCTCGGTTCAAGCTGCAGAAGAATGTGAAGGGGCAAGAACGAGGGTCAGCCAGAGCGATGGGATGTCACGCTTCAGCTGGAGACATGCATCTGGGCCTGGTGCTGCAGGGCCTGGGGCAGGACCACGCCCCTTCACACCTGCCTACCAGACACAGAGCTCTGCCTTTCTCTCGGCCTGGCCCTGCCCTCGGGATCAGCATTGACAACTAGAGGGGACCCTGGTGCTGCTCAGTATACTGAACCTTTCATCAAAGATGGCGGACCACCTCTCCCTTCCAAAGGCGCTGGTCCCTCCCCTGGGAAGCCTTCCTGGCTGCCTCTATCTGTAGCCAGTCTCTGCCGATCCATCCCCTTCCCTGCAGCCTGGCGCAGCACCATGCTGCCAACACTGGTCCCGGCTGCACCACCAGGATGTGGGGCCCTTGGGTCTTCCCTCTTGCTACCTGGCTGTCTGGAAAAGAGGTGGGAAAGGCATTTCCTGAGTAGGAGGAGTAAAATCCTGTAGCCGTCTTGGAAGCTAGGGGCCTCTCCCCGCCCCAGGCGCTGACTGGCTTCTCCTTCCTGTGCAACAGCATCCTTGCCTCTCAGAGGACCTGGTCAGCCCAGCCCCAGGCCTCTGAGATGGGTCTGATCAAGTCTGAACTGAGTCCCCGTTCCCGGAGACAAACGCCCTGGGGACACCAGACAGGCATGCCTGGCCTTATCTGACCTGCTTAGCCATCAGTCTTCTTTGAGGAAGCAGAAGACATGGAGGGTAACTCACACAGGCACACTCGCAGCAATAATGCTGTGCTCACCCCGGTATCTCTAGGTGGAAGCCATACAGGTTGATGGCAGTCCTGTAACAGCTGAGCATCCATGGTTTCCTGATTGCTGCTTCCAGTGGGGACTGACTTTTCTGGGGGCGGGGGCTGTGGTGAAATAAACTTAAGTTTTACCAAAGGAAATACATACTGAGGAACATTAACACTTGCCTGGATATTGGAGAAAATAAGAAAGGAAAGCAATCAGTGAGTTTACTTGGCTTTAGTTAACCCCCTCTTGATCATAAAAGGCAGGAGGTGTTTGCCTTTGGGAATGGGGTAGATGGGCTGACACAAATGCACAAACAGGAGTCCAAATTCAACAACCAAATACAAGACATGGACATGATACAATGGGCCTGTGCTCCACTGAAGCCGTTCGCTGGATTCCAACTGGTTCTCTCTTTCTCTAGAAAGTGAGCACACCTGGAATCAGAGGCACTTCAAGAGCATGAGGGTCCCCCAGTAGCAACATTCTTCCACGTGGCGCTCTAAAACACTCTTCCCTACTTACCCTGTCCTATTTTTCTCTCGGAACCACGGTAGGTTTTAGAATTACTCCTCACACTCGCCTGCATCCCTGCACCCGGAACAAGGTCTGACCCTGGGTTCTGATCTCTGTATCCACAGTGAGAGGAAATCTGTGTGACTCTGACAGTCACTTTCATCTTCTTGGGGCTCAATAAATAAAGTGGTTAAAGCAACGGCCAGCAAAGCCATACAGACTAATCCAATGACCAAGTCCAAGTTCACCAACAAGAAACACCCATCACTGCTCAAGGTGCCCAGAGCCACAAGCAATTCCCCTGATTATCTTTCTTCCCAACGTTCCTCTGTCTTAAAAGCCACACTTCACTTATCCGTAGTAATGCATTTTGCCAGTGTGGGTTGGCCAAAAACATACTTAACCATCAAGCAGTGGTCCTGACTAGCAAAGGAAAACCATGAATGCCTCCATGAAAAATGTGATGCAATTCCAACCAAAGCAATGGGATTTAAGGTTTCAGTTATGGGCAACTGTATATTTTGTATTTGGAAATAGTGCTTATAACATAAAAATTGTCCTTCAGGCTTATACTAGCTTCATGAGTCTGTTTGGTACCTAGGGGTCTTGAACTGAGATTTGCTGAACCTGGTGGGCTCCAAGGTTCTGGCTTTTCGTGTATTCAGCCAAAGAAATTCTGGCTGTGATGTCAGAAGACAGAGTTCAGGGCTGTCAGCATGGCTGGGAATCAGGGGGTAAATTCTAAAAGGGGCTAAAAGTTAAAAAGGCTGAGTATAGAGTTCAACTGCTATCCATTTAATGGGGACAGAGTTTGGAGTTTGAATCCTACCAATTTTGCCAAGCAAGATCTGATAAACACCTTGGACATTCCACTGAAATCCTAGGGCGGGGGTTGGGGTGGGATGGGGGTGGGGGATGAGCATGTCCTATCTAGGAGCAAAGATTATATCGCAGGATTAAAGATTTTCCCCCAGGCTAAGGAAAAATCTAATAAGACTCATCCTAAAGGAATAAAAGCAAGTTTTTACAACTTCAAGGTGATATGCCATAACTAACTGCCTGCTATTGTCAAAGGAAGACAACAGGATACAAAAATCTTTAAACCTATTGTCCACAAAACCCAGTATATATATATAAAAAAAAATTTAGAGATACAAAGAAACAGAAAAAATGTGACCCATACTCAAGAAAAACAAAAACAAAAACAAAAACAAAAACAAAAAAACAACAGTAACAAACTCTAAGATAATTCAGATATTAGAACCAGCATTCAAGAACTTAATAGTTATAAAAAGAACTTTATAGCCATGGCTGGTATTGCTAAGTGGTTAGAGCATGGCCCCACACTGAAGATTCTCAGGTTTAATTTCTGGTCAAGGGCACATACCTGGATTGCAGGTTTGACCCCTGGCCTAGTTGGGGTGCTCGCAGGAGGTAACCAATCTATGTGTCTCTCTCACATAGATGTTTCTCTCTTTCCCTTTCTCTTCATCTCTCTCCTAAAAAAAAAAAAAAAAAAAAAAAAAAAAAAAAAAAAAATCAATGAAATTATAATCATTGGGTGAGGATTTAAAATAAAGAACTTTTAGTAATTATTATAACTATATTTAAGAACTTAAAGGAAAAATTGTCACAATGAGTGAAGAGATAGGAAATCTCAGCAAAGCTACAGAAACATTTTTTTTAAAATAAAATAATCAAATAGAAGTTCTAGGACTGACAAGACACAGAAATAAAAAAAAAAAATCAGTGGATAGGCCTCACATAAGTTTGGAAGTAACAGAAGAAAGGATCAGTGAAGACAGGTCAATATAAATCATTCAATCTTAAGAACACAAAGTGGAAAAGACTTCAAAATGAAAGTGTTTTAGTGACACTCAGTATAATATCAAATAAGTCTAACATATACCATCCCTCAGGGAATTTCTCACAATAATGTGGTACCGTCTTTGAGAAATACATCTCTATTTTGTCGAATTTAAAAATATTTCCTTAACATAAAATCTTGTTGCTAGCATGAAATCCTAACGGTGTTGAAGGGCCCAGCGTCCACCTCGGAGTCCAGGCCCTGGAAAGGCTTGTGCTTTTGCTCCAGGAGGCAAAGGTGGGAGGGCCTTCCCTCCTCCCCACCTGCCCCACCCCCATGCGGGAGAGGGGTATCTCCGTGGCCCCAGGGGCCAGCGCCCTTTCATTGCCAGAGAATTCTAGGGACAGGTTGGAACTCGAATGGCCAGGCCCCAGTCAGTGGGGACTGTCCGCGGTTAGCACCGCAAGCCCCACATCGCAGGACTCTCAGTTCCAGGAAAACAATGCTTTGGCCACTGAACCAGGAGGTCAGGAGTTGTATGACAGAGGCACTCCCTCCCACCGGGACAGCTGTCTCTTGTTCTAGAAGCTTGTGTAGGAAAGGCTTCCCGATTCTGCCTCAGCACGTTGTCCTGGCGTTGTTCATGCCGGCCAGGTCCTCCCTGGATTTCAGCTGCACCCTGTCTGTCCCGGCTCTGCTTGGTGCCTCCAGCCCTGGGTGCCCAGGAGGACCTAGAGTTGAAAAGCTTTTAAAACACAGGTCTCTGAGTTACCTAGTTATCCATGCTGATGGTAAAGAACACGTTTCATTTGTTTCGTTTAGAGCTGTGTAATTCCGAAACACTTAAAACGTGGCAGCAACATGCACTTCACCATGTGGAGTCCTCTTATCCTTAGCAGAAGCCTATTTGAGGATGGGAGTTTTGATGTTTCCAGAGCCTGTGATCGCCGTATGCTCACGAAAAGAAGAAAAAGATGGATTGTGCTCACGCCTCTTTAGCTGTGTTTCAGGGGTTCATCTCAGAGGCATGACTCCAGCTCTGGAGGGACCTACAAACTGGAACAGTTTGGATGAGAAAGGCGGGAAGGCGAGGGTAGGGGTGGGGAAGGAGAGAGGGGTGACTGTTCACATCCCAGGACCCCAGACCCCCCTCCTGCTGGGGAACCTCCTCTCAACTGCCCAAACCTGACACCCCTCTGCAGAGGAAGGCGCTCCAGGCTCAGTGGCCTTCTCCCTGCCCTCAGCCTCCAGCTGGCGGGAGGGGCGTCCGTGGCCGCTCTGACTCCAGGATGGCCTCCAGCCCTTGTGCCCAAGCCAGAGTCCTGACAGCTGAGCGTGTGCGGGGTGAATGTGCACCGCTGGGCACGGTCTGCGAGTCAGAACTGGCTCACAGATTGCAGAAACACATTTGTATTGGAAACTTCCAGATCAGAGGAGGAGCTGCTAAAGGCCTAGAGGGGAGACCGGGTGCTGCTCTCAGGGGGATGGTGACCAGAGAGCCTCAGGGACGCAGGGCCGGGTCATAGGCATCTTCCAAAAGGTGCACAGAGAAGCCCGGGCGATGGAACCGCTTCCTGCGGGTGCTTGCTGTGCAGCCCGGGCCCAGGAGTATGCGTCTGCACGTTTCTCCTCGCAGCCCGTGTGGAGGGGGAGGGGCACTTTAGCCAGTCTCCAGGGGAGGGGAGGGTGGCGTGGTCACAGGCCTGTTTACTGAAATGGCTTTCCAGTGACACAGAAAAAGTCCCCAAGTCGAGGGGCCTGCATTGTTTGCTTCCTTTTGCTTTTTCGGTGACTGACAGTAAAACTGTCCTTCAAACCCAGTCCCCAAAGACATCAGAGCTTGACAATGACGAATGGGGAACAGATGTTTCTGTCCCGTCAGAGTGGCAGCTTCCTTCTGGACACGTGGGCTCCGGGACCCAGGGTGTGGGCCATTGCCCCCTGGAGTCACACCGTCTCTCCCCACCCCCACCCCGGACCTGCACTGGGCTCTGAGCGTGTGAGGACCTGGGGCCGGGCTCCCCCACCAGGCTGGGAAACTCAGGGCTTTCGGCAGCTTTGGGAGTAAGATTGTGCTCCCCAATGAGGAACTAGTGCTGTTCAATTTCCCAACGAGAGTCCCGCTCAGCTCCCAGAGTGCTCTCCCTCCCAGGCCATGAGGCCAGGAGAGAGGAAGGTCTGCTTTTCCCAGAACCTGCCCCAGCACTGGCTCACCATCCTACATCCCTCACACCTCCCTTTAACTTCCCCCCAAACACCCCCCCCTCACCAGTTCCTCCTTTTACCCCTGCTTCCCCCACCCACTCAGTCCCTGCTCCCCGGTGCCTGCCTTCCTAAGAGCTCACCCTCTGGTTCTCCAGATCTCCTCAGGCCCCGTGGCTCTGGCTGCCACTGCCCTGGGGCGTTCAGTGGGAGTGGGGGTTGCAGGGCCCCAGCAGGTGCAGTGGACATGGCCAGGACTGCCCCCAGAGCAGCTGGAACAGGGGCTCGGGGGCACCCCAGGAGTCAGAGGGGCCCCACTGAGACAGGCCAGTAAGCCAGGATGAGAGGAAAACAGGCAGTTAAGCAGCACTGTGCAGCCGCCTAGTAAATCTCATCTTCCCCAAATCAAGGACACTTAGGAGTAAATGGTTCGCACTTCTCCCCAGCCAGAGGGTAAATAACCTACAGCACCCACTCAGGGGGACGGAGAGCAGACACGGAATCGGTGCCATTTGCCCACCACACCCAAGGACAGATGCAGTTAAGAGGATGAATCTGGCTTTGGTACATCTGCATAAAGCTGATGGATATTCTGCTGATCCCCCCAGACCTCCCCTGCACCCCAGCCTTTAAAACCCCCCAAACCAAAGGTGCCATGCTTGCTCTCCTTGTCAGAAGCAAGCTTGCACCTTTCCCTGCTTCCCCTCTCCTTCCCCGTGGGCATGTGTCTGCCAATCTCTAAGGTCCCCGCCGGCTAGCAGCCAGGGAGCCGTGGGCAGCGGCTGTTACCCCCAGGCACACCCTCTGGGCCTGTCCCCAAGGCCCCTTCCTCTGACTCCTCAGTAAGCCAAAGCAGCAAGCCTGGGCTCCGTCCCAGTTCCAATAAAAGTCTTCTGAAATCTGCCTGGACTGAAGCTACGGCTGTTTCCTGCACCGAGTCAGGAACCCACATGCTACTGCCGGCCCTAGGCCCCTGCTCAGAGCCAGGGCCCCTTTCTGGTAACTCCCCAGAGCCCGGGCTCCTGCACACGCTCCTGAGAGCCCACCTCTCTTCCCCTCCACACTCACAGCACCCGCACTCACAGCACCCGCACTCACAGCCCCCGAGCTCACAGCACCCGCACTCACAGCCCCCGCGCTCACAGCACCCGCACTCACAGCACCCACGCTCTTTTAGGAACCTCCGGGCCCTATTGTGTGCCAGCTCTGGGTGCCAGCAGTGAGGAGGCAGGCTCTGAGCACAGCTCCCCGGCTCCCCTCTGTGTGCCCAGCATTTTCCAGCATGTGTGTGCTTCAGTTTCCCCATATTAATGATGAGAAGTTCAGTGCTTTGCTGAAGAGCTGCTTGTGAGGATTGAGTGACTCAGGGCCTGTCAGTGCCCAGCCCTGGCCTCTCTGGCCTGGTGCGGAGTGCCAGCTACAGATGAAGAAAAGAGGCTCCTCCTGGAGCCGAGTCCCTGCCCAAGTGGGGGAGGGGATAGGAACCCAGGCCCGTGTCCTGCACCCCATGTTGCAGATGCGCCCCAAGGTGCTGGAGGGAGAGCTGCTGGGCCATGTCCTCTCCCAGACAGTAGCGCAGGCCGGGGCGGTGGGAGCCCCGTGCTCTGGTGAGCACTTCCTGAGCTGCACACGCATCACCGCAGAGTGAGTCAAGGCCCCTTTCAAGTGGCGCCGTGCCTCCCTCTGATCTGCATAGCCTCCCAGATGGCCAGCTGCAGCTCTCCAGTAGGCCCCACAGGGCAGTGTCTGCTCACCCCCCTGTTTCTAGTGGAGACACTGAGGCACGCAGAGGACCACTGAGTTGCTTTGTATCAGGCAGCCAGTCAGGGACTAGCTTGGCCTGTGAACTCACAGTGCCCTGCTCTCCCCAGTCTGGCTCCCCCTGACTCCCCCTGGCTCTCCCTGGCTCCCTCTGACTCCCTCTGGCTCCCCCTGGCTCCCCCTGGCTCTCCCTGGCTCCCTCTGACTCCCCCTGGCTCCCCCTGGCTCTCCCTGGCTCCCTCTGACTCCCCCTGGCTCCCCCTGGCTCTCCCTGGCTCCCTCTGATTCCCTCTGGCTCCCCTTGGCTCCCTCTGGCTCCCATTGGCTCCCCCTGGCTCCCTCTGATTCCCTCTGGCTCCCTCTGGCTCCCACTGGCTCCCCCTGGCTCCCCCTGGCTCCCCCTGGCTCTCCCTGGCTCCCTCTGGCTCCCCCTGGCTCACTTTGGGAGATGAGGCCACACTCACCCTACCTGCCAGGTCAGGCACAGGCCTGGGTGCTTCTCTGGGCCTGCTGGTTGCTGGGGCTGGGAGGCGAGACTGGAGCTGGAATGATTAAACCAATTTCTCACATCTCAGGAGGAAACAGGCCTGTGATCTCTGGGCTGGATGCCAGGCCCTCTGATTTGGCAGTGCCCGTGGACCGAATCCTGATAAGAGAGGGGTCACAGTGCCCGCAGGGACCTCGTCCCACAGCCAGGGGTGCCCTGGGCGAGGGGGCCTCCCAGAAGCCTGAGGCCTGGCTGCAGGACCGGCATGTGGTGGGGGAGGAGCCTCAGGCTGGGAGTGGGGTGGAGGGGCCGATGAGGGGAGGAAGAGGGCCCCTCTCTGGAATGTACCGCCCAAGACCCATTTGGGTCTCCCCTGGGAGGGAGGCTGGCCTGGTCCCTGGCCTAGGAGGAGGAATTCTCAGAGGGAAGTGAGAGAGAAAGGAAGCAGGTGCGCTCTGAAACACAAACACAGCGTCTGTCCGAGCCTCCCTGCCCAGGAGGCCTGCATTGTGCTGGCTGATTTGCTTCTGGTTTTGCTTTGTCATTGTTGTTTTGGTTCAGTTTAGGCGTTTTCTTAGTAATCACTACTAGGACACAGAGGGCCACAAAAATGGGGGGAAAGAACAAAACAGGGCGATGACAACAGCTACGCCAATCAGACAGGGTTTCCACAGACGTGCCATCTTGTTGGAATGGAGGCGGTCTGGGCCCGAAGGCCTCACATCTTTTCCCTGAGGCCCTTTGTCCTTCTTTCCATTAGTTTGTTTTTTAGGTAACGTTCATAGAGAGAAAGAATGCGCAGCCTCCCTGTAGAATCCACACCACGATAAACCAGGCTCAGGGACCCTGGACACCGCAGGGCGTTCCATCCGGCCAAGGGCCACCGTCTGTTTGCTGGTGGCCTTTGCCCAGTAGGTAGAGCTTAGCGTGGGCTTAGTGCTGGGGGCTAAACCATATGGTTAAAGAAGCCTGTCCCATCAGTCAAACCCCAAACTTGGCCACATGCCTCTCTCTTTAGAAGGACCCAGGAAGGTCAGAATGATCCCCAAACTCTTCCTCCAGGCAGGACCTCAATCTCCGCTGCCAGCTCTCTGCACATCTCTGTCCACCCCACACCCCACCCGGCTGGCGGCACGGGCATCTCCATTTCACTGGCAATGGACCCGGCTCCTCAGAGTCAAGAGTCTTGCACAAAACCACCCTCGCTCGGCTTTTCCACTGTCCCAGCGACTCTGTGCCTCCAAGTCCTGCCTCCTCACCGAGGTCTCATTCTACAGCGAGTGCCCCACCTGTGCTCCCATCAAAGTCCCTAAGTCCCCACTGCCCCTGCCTCCAGCTTCATGAGGCGCCGGGCCCGTGTTCTTGTCGGGGGAAGGCCTGTCTATCTGGGCTCCCAAAGCGTCCCAAAGGCCCAAACCACCAGCCTTCAAGCAGCGGCCGCTGAAGCAAAGGAGGGGATCCCAGCCCCATCCCAGCCCTGTCTTCCCCACGCCTCCCAGGCTGAGCACATTCACATGGGGTCCTGAGAGGCAGGACCCCAAAGTCCTGGACTGCCTGCTCCGTGGCGCTGAGGATGAAGTGGGCTATGGCATGGGTACGCTCAGTGGGGGCAGTGGGAAGAGGTGGGAATCAGACAGGATGATGCGCTTTAGGAGCTGAGGTCCAGAGCATTCTTCCTGGAGAATATTGTGTAGACATCGTCTGCCCACAAGGCCTGGCAAGCCCGGGAGACTTGGCCCAGAGATGAAATGTGTTCATCGGCACGGGAAAGGCCCCGAGAAGTCCTGAAGTAAAGCAAACAGTTCAATATCTAACCACATTTCCCCAGGCTGACTAGTCCAGAAATATCTTTTCTGGCAGGATGCCTGTTGCTGTGTCCCTCGGGGTCACATGTGGAAACCTGTTGGTCTGACCTCAAGTGAACCCGGTCTTGCCCTCGGACGGATTAGACAGGCTCAGTGTCTAAAATCCTAGGGGGTTGGTGGCACTTGTAATGATGACTTGGCTTTAAAATGACAAGATCTCAAACTGGCACCCATGGACCAAATCTGCCCCACTGCCTGTCTTTGTGAATAAAGTTTTATTGGAACACAGCCGTGCTCATTCATTTCCAGATTGCCTGTGGCTGCTCAGTGCCGCAGCAGGGGAGTGGGAAGGTCATGACAGAGGCCAGGTGGCCTGGGAAGCCTGAAATGTTGACCATGGGGCCCTTGAGAAGAAAAGTTAGCTTATTGCTGGTTTAAGGGAAATTGAATCTCACTTAAAACACTGACTCCATCAAGCCTCAATATCATGGACACTTTAGGTTCTAAATGCCTGTGATCTGAACCAATGCAGGTGGTGGCCCTGGTGTGTGTGTGTGTGTGTGTGTGTGTGTGTGTGTGTGTGAATGAAGTGGATGAGAGTAGGAACACGGATGGGGCAGAGAGAAGTTTTATAATGAAGAATACTGAATTTGGGGTCAGGGTGGGGCTAAGATTCCAGCTCCATGATGTGGCCTCGCTGGACTATGTCTGAGAGACGTGGAGATAATGCCAGCGGCTGCACAGGGTTGCACACACAGGGTTGCGTGCACAGGGTTGAGTGCACATGCGTGCAGAGCCCTCTGCCACCTCACAGAGGACTCGGCATTTCTTGCTATGTGTGCTCAGCAGAGGGTGCATGCTAAACAATGTGGCCTATTCAGGAGTTATTCAGGAACCCCTAAGCATATTTGGGGGGCAGGTAGTATCTGGGAAGGACAAAGCCCCCTTCCTTCCTAGATGGATGCTAATTTGGGCCACCTGTGTGGGTCCTCCAGCTCCTTCGCAAAGGCCGGTGTGGGCCTTGATCATCCCATGCGGAACCGTGGGTAAGGCACATGGCTGCTGGGAAACAGTGGGGCCTGAGTATCACCCATGGACCAAGGACCACCCCTGGGCGAATAGCGAGGTGTGCACGACTTTTACGTTATAGTCCATGACGGGGCGTGTGGGGCTGTGGGCACAGCAGAGCTGCCTGCTGTCAGCCTGCAGAGACCAGGTGTTTGTCTGCCACATCCTTCAGTTTTTTATTGCACTCGGTGCCACGTATATTTAATGGAGAATCTTGCTGAAGTGGCTACTGAGCCCAGGGGGGGAAAAGGAGGAGTGGGGAGTGCCCTCCACCCCCGAGTTCAGCAGAGCAGCCTCATGGATCAGATGTGTGCTGGATACATGTTATTTTGCCAAGTTCACCTTATAGCAGGAGGTCATTTGTGACTGGCGATGCTCACTCCACAATAGGTGTGATTTGCAGGAAAAGAGGGATTCTCCTCCTCTTTTTAAAATACCTATCAGCCCACAGTGACCAGTTCCTTGTTTTGAGGTGAGTGTGCCTAGCAGAGCCGCGCTTGGTCTCCACGTTTCTGAGCTCGGTGGGAGGAGGGGTGGAAGGGGCCGCCTGCCAGACCAGTGATGATTGACACCAGGACAGCATTGCTCTGCCCGCATGGTCTATGTCCTCCTTCCCAGGCCTCGGTGTGAACCCGGAAGGGCCGGGCCCGAGTCACCCACAGGCCCTGGGCAAACTCCCATGCGAGCCCAGGTCCCTGCCGAGGGCTTGCTGTGGGGCATCGTGGTGGTAACTACCTGAGTGGATGGCTGGTAAGTTAGAAAAGTGAGGCTGCTCGCACCTCCTTTCCCGGATGAAACCAGAGAGGAGAGCTCATTTGGAAGCTCTTCGGGATGCCACTGAGGCCTGCACCGGGCCGGGACCAGCAAACGACACAACGTGACAGGAGCCGGGCAGGTGGGAACAACAGGGACGTCTAACTGCCATGGGGGAGGGGTTGCTGATAAATCAGGGACAGACAGTGATGTGACACCAGCCAGAGAGGGTTGTTTCACAAACTAAGCTCACCTTCACAAACAACTTGGTGAAAAAACCCGTTTGGTTTACCAGCTTCGCCACATCCCACGCGGGTCATTCTGGGCAAGCTGCTCGCTCACTCTGAGTCTTCATTTCTGTCTTCAAATGGGGAGAAAGCTCTTAGTTTCAAGAAATACCAGACTCTGCCTCAATCTGAAGGAAAGATGCATTTTTCTTCTCCTCAAATTTAGGGGGGAATCAGGTATTGTATTTCTATGTCAAAGTCACAAACTCTGGCAGAAATCAAGCTAAAAATCTTTCCATTCACACAGGCATCTGGGGACCCAAATGGCACCCCAACAGGTTGCTCTTAGAAACAGGACCCCAACGTCCTGCCTAGAGTGAACCCCACCATTTCACACCTTGTTCTCCGAGAGGGCTCCAGAATCCAGAACTGGTGTGTTCGCTTGTGTTGTCTGTAAGCCAGGGGCTGTCACCGATTTAAAGCCAGCACCACTTTTTATTTTTCCAGTAAACACTAGAATTTCCTGGTTTGAACTATAAGAAATGCAATGTTAGACTCAAAGACACAGCCCCCCCCCCCACTTGCTACCTAAGGGAGCCCCCCTGTAACAGAGGGTGAAGGAGTCTCCAATGTGACAAGCAGTGTCGGAGTACATTGTTGGAGTAGATCCTTGTCCACAGAAGGATCACTTTCCCATCTATCCTGTCATAATGGGCCACATGCACGTGCACATGTAACTTACGAGTATTTGTGCAATTTTGCAAAATAGCAAAGTGTGAGTCCAGGACCACTAGCCTGTGGTCTTTGCTTTAGAAGCCCAATGTCATCCTCTGGTGGGAGAACCGGCGGCCTCATCACCCAGGAGCCTTGGGAGGACGGGCCTTTGGAAACCAGACCTGCCAACCCAGGAGAGAGGGCACCCCCACCACAGGGACCTTCTGAGGTTAAAGTGCACCTGAGACAGCACATGACTTTCCCGATTAATTTCCCATTGTAAAAGTTTGGAAAGAGTCAAAGAACGAAAAACAACACAGCATTAACCACAAGCGCTGACGGAGGCTCCTGTCAACTAGCAAATGAATGAACCTCCCTCCTCTGGTATGTACTGCCGTCTCACCGTGTTTGCCATGGGAGAGAGGCTGTTTGCCGAGCGGATGGAATGTGTGCAGCCGTTTGCTAACACCGGCTCGGCCTTCCAGAACGAAATGAGACCTCCGGACGCACGGAGCGTATCGGGGACCTTGAGTCCTGTTTTTCCGCAGAGCAGACGCCGGTGTGTGCTCACGGCACTGACAGGTGCCAGGGGAGCAGGTAGGGCCGCTCTGCCCGCGAAGATGAGACAGGATCCGGGGGACGGGCTGATCAGATAGAGCTCCCACCCACACGATGTGGATTTTAGCCAATTCAGTCATTTATTCTGAAAGGAAAAGGAGTTGACTCCCCTCCAGCCTCTATGATCACACTTTGTGGCGAGTTTCCCTCCCTCTTTAGAAAAGACAGGGCGGCTTGTGTCGCCTTCTTCGCCTCCTCCTCTTCCTCTTCTTCTTCTCGGGAGGCAGGGAGACACTTCCTTAGAAGTCCTGTCCGCACTGCCCTTAGAAGACTCGAAATGCTTGCTCTCAGGGTCCTCAGTTTCCCTTCAGGGGGAGGGGGAGCTTTCTTTGAAAGAGATCTCTAGCATTCTCCTGAACAGACACCTGTTGTGGGGACAGGGGACGTGATCCGAGGCCGGGCTGCCATCAGCCTCAGGGACCCAAGCACTTGCCATCACTGCCACCTGCCAAGGAGACTCCGTCACAGGTTGGCATGGAGACGGCTTCTCCCCCACCCCCGACTATTTTGAAGCGAGTTATGGATCTTGGGTTTTGACAACCCTCCATGAGGCTTGAAGGCCAGAAAGTCCTGGCTCCACGTAACCCATCAGGAAGTGACAGGCAGAGGTGAGGTGACACCTTCAGGTGAGCAGCTCGGGTTGGAAGGCAGGTCTTCCTGGCCTGGCTTCCGGTCCTTGTCCTCATTCATCACAGCACAGGCCTGCACCGTCCGTAGGCAGGGCCGGTGTTTGCACACACAGGTGGCTCTGCAGCCACCTGCCTGGGACGGAAAGTAGCACCTGGGATGTGACAAGCATGTGTCAAGGCTCAAGCTCTGTGGCCAAAACGCCGGGTGCCTCCTCCCTCCCATCGCAGTATCTCAGGGTGACGATGGTGGGAGTGGAGGCCCAGCATCCACAGGGGAACGGTCCAGGGAGTCTCCCATTAGGACAATGGGAGATTGGATGGGCTGTTTTCTTGTCTCAGAAACCTCCTACAGAATGACTTTCCTCCCTCTTATTGTCTTTGCCAGTTTTCCTATTTTGGAATGGGTATATTTATACATTTTAAAGTGTTTTTATAAATTAAAATGAAGTGATTTTTTGGTGGCCAAGTGTCTGCAGAAGTGGAGTTAAAAGCAGAGAAACGAAGTGGTCAATCATGCACAAGACTGACAGTTAACTAATAAAATTGTGGGGTTTTTCCTATTTCCTTAAAAGTCAGTTCTCAGAAAAACCACTCATTTACTGTAGGCCCCCTGTTTACCAGCAAGGGGGAAAGTTCATGAAAAGAAAGACATCAAAATATTTACATTAAAGCAAATCTGTGCTCCTACAGCATGTCATACTTGTCACGGTCAGAGCAAGGGGGCTCTGGCCACTGTGAGCTGCCTTTGCCTATACCCACATCACACACATGCTATACCCATGCCAGTCACAGACACACCACACATGTACATACTGCATGCAACATACACATGCCATATTACACATGTACCATTGGCTCCATACTCACATCCATCCACACCCCCCCCACACCACCACCACACACACCACACATACACCCACACACACACCACACATATACACACCATGCACACCTCACACGTATAAACACCACACAGATACACAAGCCCACAGACACCCCATGATGCTCACATGACACATGTATGTGCACATGCGTGCTAATGTGCATTCTCACACACCCATTGCTGGCTCTGTGCTCCACACCCTTCTATCTTAGAAGAGAAGATGGTGTGAGAAGTTAGTATTTGGGAAGCAACTTCTTGGGAAAATAAAAAAGCAGATATAAGGTGACCAGAAAACAGGTGAAATGCCTGAGAGTGAAAGGCAGAGTGGGGAGGCATGAACGGACACAGACTGACTCCTAGCAGTCATGATGGCGCCGCCTGAGCAAACCAGGGGCGCTCCCTCGCTGAAGGAGCCCGGACAGTCACCGGAGTCGAGTTCTGCTGCCGCCGGAGGCTCCCAGGAGAAAACAGCTGTGAGAACTGGGGAGGGCCAGGCACAGAACACTCTGTTCGGGCTGCTCTCCTTCCCTCACCTTTCCTTTCCACTCCAGGGGCAGGTTCCACTGGGTGCCTGTCCTCACAGTGTCCCAGCTCCTCCCTCCCACCTCGCTGACCCTCTGTTAGCTGGGGTGAGGGGTGAGGGTGGGGCGCTCTGCCTACTCCTACTCCTGGCGAACTTCCCAGAGGAGCAAAGACCGATCCACTTTACCAACACCTGCTCCCCCGGCGCTGGTGGCATGGGGCTGTGGAGGGAAGGTGAGAGCAGAGCTCTGACTCCAGGGCCCAGAGAGAGCCCGCAGCTGTGCTCGCCCGGGTCTCATTGAAATGCAGCTTCCGGGGCCTCTGCCCATCTGACCCTCCACCTGCACTTGGAGTAGCAGGCAGTTTGCAGAGAGCCACATCTGTCCTCAGCTCGGCCTTCCCACAGGGAACCCCAGGCCTCTGACAGGGTGGGGCCACAGCCACCACAGTGGTCATTTACCTCCCGTCGCCTCCTGCCTTCAGCTGCTTCCTTCTGACCGAGTTCACCATTCCCAGCCCGCTTGAAGGGGAAAGGACCGGCTTTGGGGGCTTTACGATGCACAGTGGCAGCCTGATGGAGAGCGAGGAGGCTGGGCCGCTGGGGTATAAATCCACGGCATCACCACATTCCCATTCCTGTGATCCGGGTCCAATTGCTTAACTGAGATGAAAGGGTGATGACCCCCCTCTGGAGCCTGTTGTGGGGACGGAAATACTGTAATGGCTCCCCTCCCCCCTCTGAGATCTCCTCCGAGCTGGCAGAGCCCCGGGTGGTAGCTGGGATTACCCTCCCAGAGCCAGGCCCTCCGCCCAGCAGCCCCCCCTGAGAACCAGGTACCGTGCACCTCCGGAGAGGGCCCGGGACACCAGGGAAGGAGAGCGTTGGGGCACAGGGGGGCTTTGGGGTCCTTCCGAGTCGCGTAAAAGGAGAAGCAGGCTGCAATTACAGAAGTGAGAGCTTGGTGCATAAGCTACCTCCGGGCCACCTCCAGGGGTGCCCACGTCTCGCATGTGGAGACACCTGAAGCCAAGGCTCCAGGTGCCCAGCTCGGCTCTTCCACCCGAGAAGCAAGTGTGGCTCCGAAGCGCCTTTAAGCTAGGAAGTAGAAGCGGGGACGTTTGTCCGAAAGTTCAGCACTGATACGCGTGGTGCCGAGCCCTGGACCGTGACCTCGCTGAGTCAGAGAACCCCCGTGGGGACTCTGAGATCAGAGCCAGGGCAGCTGTCATCAGGGCGCTCCGGCCAGACTCCGCCCCAGGGACCTGGAAAGCCGCTGCTCCCACTGCTCCCATCTCGCCGGAGCCATTTCCTCGTGCCCGCATCTCTGCCGCTGAGGGACATGTGGCCCACGCAGCACAAGGAGGGAGCCACCTGCCCTGGAGGGGAGCGCGTGTGTGAGCCCCGTGGCCTCGGGACCTGCACAAGCCCTCCCTCAACGACATGACATCTTCTGGGCGCTTGAAGTACATGTGGATCTGACTCCAGAGCAAACGCCTTTAAGATACGGGAGCGACAGGGAGCGGGTCGGGAGGCTGGGCAAGAGAATATCAACGCGTTTTCCAAAGCCACGGCTCCTAGCAGCCGCAGGAGGCACGCTCCCCGCTTCCGGACAAGCCCAGAGGCGCCGCGGGGCGCGCAGTGTGGGGAGGAAAGTGGTGGTCTCTCGGAGGCCATGCACGTCTCTGAGAGAAAGTCATTCCATGCTAACCTCATTTCCTGTTTTGACGAGCTTCACCAGCACAGGCGATTAGGGGAATGCCCCAGAAAGTGTGTCTTGCTTTCAGTAAGCATCTGAAAGCCGCTCATTGTGTCCCGCGTATACACAAGGTGGGTGGGCGGAGGTGGGACCAGGAGAATCCACAGATGGTAGGACAGCCATCCCGAAGAGTCAGCTCCTGCCCGGCCCACCCAACTGCCCCCGCACCCTCGCCATGCAGGTGGCTGGGACCTCAGACCCCAACCTCGCCCCGTGAGCTCTCAGGTGGACAGACCAGCCATGTTTCTCCCCCCAGCAGGTCTGCTTTCAGATGGTTCTCGGCAACGCCACGCCTGGAGGTGGAGGCCTTGGAGGTGGCAATGTCGGCCTGTGGCTGGTGTGCACCGTGTGTCCTTTGAATGTGTCCATGGAGAGTCACAGGGCCTTGCCCCTTGTTGAAAATAAGTTGAAGGAAGAGGCACAGAAAGTATGTTGATCAAATTTGCAAATCACACAAACCGCCGAGGAAAAGGCCCTCAGAGAGCTGGGAGGGAACCAGGCGGAACAAGTGGGAAGTTTCCTTTGACAACGGGATCCTCTGAGGAGCACGCGGTCCGGGCGCTCGGTCCCGGGGACACGGCACATGCTCAGTGTGGCCCCGGGCACACAGCGCCGGACCTTGCCTCTCCTCCTCTTCTTCCCACAACAGTGAGCCTCTCTCTGGCCGCCAGGCACTGAACTCCCTTCCCTGGTCAGGTACGGCCTTGTTGTGAGGACGGAATAAGTCAGAGGGGTAAAGTGTCTTGAGAAAGGGAAAGCTCTGAAATTCAAAATAGTATTATTCTTTGCTGTAAGGTGCTTTCCCTATGAAGAAAGAAAAAAAATCCGACAGTCTGCGAGCAAAAGGCAGAAAATGATTCAGCTCTGCTTCTGTTTCTCCAGCTTTAACCCCCACGCTGGCTCAGCTTGCTGAGTGGGTGCAGGGGACCCACATGGAGCCTGGCTCCTCAGCTCCACATCCCCCTCCTCCCCTGCAGTCTGCTTTGCCACAGGCCCTCCCTGGAGGCCTGCTCCCAGAGGCCTGGAAATACAGAGCTCCGGGACTGCAGTCATTCCACAGTCACCCAGAGGGCTCCCTCCCCAGGGCTGGGTCTTCAGAGGCCTGGCTGGAGTGAAACTCAGATGACCAGGGTCAGGGCCTTAGACTGACCCCTTCCAGCCACTTTAGCTCCTTTCCATCCCACTGGCACATTCTGAAAGCACGCCTGCCTTGCTGCTGTTCAAGCCTTGGCTCAAAACATAGATGAAAAATACATGCATCACCTTAAACTCCTCTTGGGCTCAGTGAAGACTTCCCTGGGCAGGTGCAGGCTCAGAGCTCCTCTGGGCCAAGCTGCACAGGAGAACTTTCTGTGGCAACATACCTTTCTCCGTCCACTCCGGGAGCCACATCCACATGTGCATGGTTACATTTCATTTAATTACAATAAAACTTCGGTTCCTCAGTCACACCAGCCACATTTTAAGTTTTCAATGGTCACATGTGGCTGGTGGGGCCTGTATCAGACAGCACAGCCCGGCAGCAGTTGTGAGCCTTGCTATGTGATGGGACGACTGGGAGAACACCGATGTCTGGCCTCCATCCCCAATTCCCATGTGATCGCTCCTGGGGGAGCCTGGCCACGTGGGTTTTTTAAAAGTTCTGGGCAATTGAATGTCTGCCAGGGTTTCAGAATCCCCTAGAATTGTGTGGTCAAATCGCTCTGTCCTCTCCTCGGTGACCCCTGGAGCTAATTGTCCTGCAATCCCTGTGTGAGCCGGGCCTGTTTCTCCCTGAGCCTGTGACTCCCATCTCTGCCAGGTTACACGTGCTTTCGTGGGTAGTCTCTGGAATGCTCAAAGCACAGTGAGGAGTGACCAGCTGGGAAGAGATGTCATTCCCAACAGAATCCCCCTGTTCCAGGGCGAGCGGGTGTCCAGAGGGGGCTGGCTTAGGTCTGTGTGGCACCCACGGGCCATGTCCACAAACCCACAGCCGGGTGGACTCCTGCAATCTCAGGGCTTTGCCTTGCTGTCCTCAACACCCTCCACATTGCGTCCTCTTCTTCCAGAGCCAGCAGACACAGAGCCAGCAGACACAGAGCCAGCAGACACAGAGCCAGCAGATGTAGAACCAGCAGACATAGAACCAGCAGACATAGAACCAGCAGATGTAGTACCAGCAGAGGGGGTAACATAAAAGAACATCCCGCCTGGCCCCCAGTGTGGTGCTGAGGGAAGACACATACAGAGAAGTCAGGTGGCTCGTGAGGGCCAGAGCTGGCAGAGCGAGGACAAGAGCCCACCCTCTAGACCACATGTGTCAAACACAAGGCCAGAGGGCCAAATCCGTCCCGCCAGGCCTTGCAATATGGCCCGCACCGCGCTGTCATCACTGCACTCCGCTGCGTTTCCATCACAATGACAGTTTATGACTGTTCAGTAAACCATTCGGCCCGCGATTTAGGCTGGATTTTAGATTTTGGCCCCTTCTCTGATTGAGTTCGACACCCCTACTCTAGACCTCCCAGGACACGTCCTCCAGCCATGGTCGCCTTTACTCTTCCAGGAATGGAAGTGAGATCTGACGGAGCAGACCTTGATTCAGCTGAGAGTCTGATTACTGACAACATGTGGTTCACCATCAGCCTTTTCTGCCGGGTGGTCTCCGGCAGAAAGCCTGGCTCCTCCCTCTGGAGGCTCCATTCACCGTGCTGCCTCCTCGAGGTCCATGCATGCAGTTTCCTTGCCCACCAAACAGTGGTGAGACTCCTGGGCTGGCCACACCACCGAACTGTGATGAGAAGTGATAAGATAATGGCTCTGGTCAACACGTGATTAATGCCCGGAATGCCAGGTGCTGGGGGCAGACTGGCAGTGGGCAGACTAGCATCTGCCTGTGCAGAGCTGCAGTGGGGGCAGGGGAGAGGCATACAGCTAAGTAATAAATGCACCGTCAGGATAATGTTGATAATGGTATGTTCTATGGAGGAAATAAACTAGAGTCATGAGGTATGGAGAAATGGAAGCACGGGTCCAGGCCAGAACATGGTGGTCACCTGGAGAGGGGACACGGATGTGCATGGCAGCACCTAGTATGCCAGGCACTGGGCGGCTGAGATGTTCACATGGTCTACTGATAAACTGACTCTGGGGCGTGTAAACGGTGCGCCGTCATTTAAATTGTTCATCAAAGTCTGCAAGCGTCAAAGTAAAGACAGGAGGAGCCAGGAGAACTTCCATCGGCCTCTGAGTGTCTCCCCCGAGGCTCGAGCCGTCTGCTTTAACATTTATCCATTCTTAAGGAATATTTAGTTGCCGATTTCAGGGGTTCAGATTTGAGAAGCCAGGACATCTGGATGAAATGGCCATGCGGTCTATCGTGATGAATGCCAGGCCGCCTGCACCCGGTGACGAACCCCAGCCAAGTCCACTCACTCACATGTAGGCTAGAGCAGTCGGGAGGCGAGGCAGAGCGGGTCCCACCCACTGCTCCGTCCTCAGAACACGGCACAGAGTAGGCCCCAAAGACACCGTGTGAAATGAAGAAGTGAATGGTGACTGATGGAGGGCAAGGGGAGGCCGCTGAGAAGATGGGCCTCCCGGAGAAAGCTCAAGGTGATGATTCTGAGGTCACCGCTGACAGGCCAGTATCAGATGCACCCACATCCAAACGTCTCCCAGTATTTTCCTCAAATGCCAACACGTCAGTACTGACTTGAGAGAGGCTTTCCAGAGAGGCAGAAGAGAAGGCTGAGTAATACAAGATTCGAGTTCCACACGCTTCTAAATCAGTCATAATGCTCCGTGTGGTTATGGTGATGGCGGGGTCGACTTGTGGGCCTATAGAAATGACTCTCCACCGTGACTTGGTCTCCTTTGAATGAGTGTGTAAATAGAGCTAGTAAGCAAACAACTCATTTTTTTTTATAGTTTTGCTTTTAATGAAGAAAAAGGGATTAAGACACATAGAGACAGCCAGATAAATAGGAAACCACCCAGACGAGACCATGACATAACACTGCAGACACATATCAGCAAACGCAGAGGCCCTTGAAGTCCGCACCGCCAGTCAGGTCCAGGGCAGGCCTGCCACCGCATCCCAGCGTGGGCAGCAGGCAGCAGGTAGAGGCACTGGCAGGGGGCTGAGTCCTGATTTTTTTTTTTTTTTTTTTTTTGGTCTGTGTCATTTTCGATCAAGTGTGTCATAGAGCTTCCTGTTTCATCTCCCAGTTATTCTGAAACAAAAACATGTATGAAAAACACAGGTCACTGCCAACCACACTGAGAGATAGCCACTCCAGTACGTGGAACCTGAAAAGGGAAAGAGATTGTAAGTGCCACAGTGAGCCGGGGGGGTCTCATTTATCAGAACCTGTTCAAATAGTGACAATCAACCAAAATTGCCGGTGGTGATGGAGGGTGGGGCATCGTTTAAAAATAATTCAGAAGGGACTGAAAAGGCAGAAGTTCCCAGAAGCCCACTGCCTGCTTACTGACAAGTTGAGGTCAGACTCGGGGTCAAGGTCTATCCTGGGGCAACTGAGGCTCCTCCCCTTGTGTCCTTGTCGGCCTCGTGCACAGTCACACTGGGCTTTCAGGATGACCTGTTTGCCCAGATGATGCCTGAGTCTCCTCCCAGGTCCAAAGAGAGTGAAAGGAGGTCCGTGTGGAATTGCTACCCCCTGAGAGTGAGCTAGGAGAATGGCCCTGACTCTCCCCATCCCAGGAGAGATGGCTCCCGGTGTCCCTCACGAAAGCACTAGCAGACACGCTGTGTCCTCAGCCCCAGCGAGGCAGAGAAGCTTCTGACCAGCAAAGACCCCAAGGACCACACAGCACAGCTCCAAGGACCACGGGGCTGGTGAATCCTGCTTTGCCACCAACTAATTCTCCCAAACAAGTGGAGGGATTCTTCCAGAGACACACAGGTGGGCGACTGAAATGCAGGCAGCCTCATCAACCCACAGCCCACGCTGTGACCGGCCAGCCAGTCTTGTGCTTCCGTCTGCTCCTCAGAGGCCTCCGGGGAGGGGGACAGCACTGTCCTGGGAGGGGGCCAACTCAAGCCTGTCCGCTACTCTTGCCATGTTCTCTCTGCAGAAACTGCTGGTGGCCAGGGAGGGGACCAGCTCTGCCTGACTTCTCTGAGCTCCCCGGGGGGCCTGGCTGTCCTCTCCACATGCAACCTGCCCAGATGCCGCCCTGAGATCACCAGGAAAATCCCCCCCCCCCCCCCCCATTTCCTGGCTTTTGTTAATGGCACAAAATTCTGAAAAGGGAGAGCTCTGGGTGCATGATTTTGGAAGCACTGCCTTCCCTCCCCAAGAGATGATGCACGGTGCCAAAGGCCCTGAGACGCTAGGAAATAAGGAAAGCCACTTACACAGGGTACTGTGTGCACCCCAGACACTCCTGGAGTAGAGGCCTTTCTTAGGCCGCAGGAATGCTGCTCAGGGCAGCCCTGCCCGGCCCTTCTGCAAAGGGCTCCCGTGGGCTGCAGGCTGCTGGAGCGAGGCTTGTCTCACACAGTCCTTGTTGTCCCGACACGCTCGGCCATTGGGGATCGTCTGTATTTATTTCTTCAAACTCTGTATTGACTTATCCCATATCTTTCCCCCAATGTCCTGTAGACAGGAGCTAGTCCTTCACAAGTGCCTGCATCACTTTTCTCAGAGGCCTCATTTGCCAGCGGCAGTGAAACACTGGGCTTTCCAAGCGGCGAAGCCCGGTGGACCCGAACATCCGGGGGAGAACGTCGCCCTGGTGAGTCAGCTGGAAAGCCAGCTTCCCGGTGTGAGCTTGCATTTAACAATCCAGATGTGGGCCGAAGACTTCACATGCAGAGCCTTCCTGGGTGGGCAAAGAGAAACAGGAACTAAGAAACACATAGGTGGCTGGCATGGGAGGAAGGGGAAGCCTCCTTCCTACAGCTTCACCCCCGAACAGAGAGGTACTGCTCTCCAGTTTCCGCACTTGGGAGTGAGACGAAAAGCCAAGGGCAGCAGCCCGGGCTTCAGTGCGGCGCTCCGGGCTACGTGGACGTGACCTAAGCCCAGAGGGAGAGGAGCAGGGCCCTGAGGGTCATCTGGCCGCCTTCATGGTGCAGGTGCCCAGAGGAAGGAAGCTGGCACCTTCCTCAGGTCCCATGGGACAGACACTGCTGGATGGAGTCCTGAGTCACTCCTACCCAGTCATAGGGTCCTAGATCCCAAATATCCGCTTCCACAGCGAGGCCTGCGCTCGCTTGAGTTTGTCTGGGGTTTGGTGCGGGTGAGGTCATCCCTCTGGATTATGTGTTGGCCGGCTACCTATTTATCACTAAAAAAATCCCATCCACACACTTGAAGAGGTTTGCCCCTAATTCAGAGCCCATCACACTTATGGCGTCGCCTCTGCAGTGCACACTGGGAGGCGTGGAGACCAGTAGTGTCTCCCTGTGTTGGGCAGACCTGGTGGGGGGTGAGAGGGGGGGAGGAGGGGGCGAGTTCCTGATCACACATTGCTCCCTTATCTTATTCTTGCTTGGATGGGCTAAGCTATTCCTTCCCTCTTTAGTATGCAAGGGGCCCCACTCCAGTTAGGTCTCCCCACGGTGTCCCTTGGATCTGAGGAATGGCCTCGGGGCCCACACATCACACTGAGGGAGGTCCCTCCCATGTAGCCCCAGAGCCCTCTGGATGCTCCACAGCAGGCCGCCTCTGAACTGAGGACAGGACGTGGGGAGGGGAGAGAAGCAGCAGCTCGGACACCCACCCCAGGTGGATGCTTCCTGGGTAGATGCTTCACCCTGCAGGCAGCGCGCACCAGGCAGAGGACCTCACTTTGCTGAGAGGCCACATAAGAGCCCGGCCACTGGCGCCGGCCCTGCACCAGGTCTCTGCCAGCCCCGGGAGACAACCAGCCAGCGTGCATCCTGATCATGGTGATTCGTGTTGGGCTCTGACTGTGTGGAAATACCACTTTTTTATATTTATATATTATTGATTTCAGAGGAAGGGAGAGGGAGAGAGAGAGGAACATCAATGATGAGAGAGAAGCGATGATTGGAAGCCCTCTTTCTGACTTTAATGGTTTCCGAGGAGGGAGGGCACTGCTTTCCCCTCGAGCTCGGTTAGGACCTGGAGGGTCGCTCAGCAACGTGTGGCCGGTCATCACAGCCGCATTCTTGGGAGAAGGGACGGGGCCTCCGGGCTGCGGTGCTGCTGGAGGGGCCCCCAGAGGAGGGGTCCGCACTCCAGGCTCTCTCCTCCTTCCTCAGGGGAACCCACCTGAGGCTGAGCGGACTTAGAAGCTTTCCCCAGGGGCCCTCCCCGAGGAGAGGCAGCTTTTGTGAAGTGCTCCACGCGTCACCACAGATGTGCACGAGGCTCAGAAAGACTCCGTGTCCCTCAGCAGCCCATGGACAGGCGGTGCGCCGGCCCCGGAACATGCACAGAGCCCGCCAGTCCCTGAGCATCCTGGCATTGGGCACTGCTCCCAGGCACCCAGCTCAGCACCCCGCGCCCTGGGCCGCTGTCAGGGTCGTAGGGTCGTCTCTCTCGCCCAGGCACAGGGGAGTTGGCCAATGAGCTGTCATGGATCCCGGTCAGCATCCTGACGGTGATGCTGGGGCCACCTGCCGGGAGGAAAGGGCCTCTCCTTCCATTTGCACCAAAGGTGGAAACAGAGACAAGGGTGAGCGACACAGGCCTCTCACTGGGTTATTTCCTGGCCCAGCACCCCTCCTCACCATGGCCACTTTATCTATAAGGTAAGAGCCTCCTTTCAAAGAATGAATCACAAACACGTTTTAGCAAACCAGCAGTCTGGTTGGCCCTGGAACAGGTCACCTTGTGTACAGTTACTTGAGACGCAGGGGCCTTCTGAGGCCGGTTTCATATCCCAGGTTGTACCCAGACATATGAAGGACCTCAGCATCAGAGGGAAAAGCAGGCAGTCAGTGGCCCCAGGGGGCTGTGAGGCACCCAGCCACCCGCAGCCATGCCCTCAGAAGCCCCTGCATGGGCCCCGGACCAGCAGCATCACACACCCGCACTTCGTTAGAAATGCAGATCCCCTGGCCCTTCCCATACGTCTGCCTTGGGAACGCTGGCACGAGGACCAGGACCTGTTTTCCCATGCCCGCTGGTGATGTGGACCCACACCCAGGGCCACCTTGGCGAGTGGTGCCGGCTCTCGTGACTCCTGTGCACTGGCCAGGCCCGGGCCCTCGTGGCTGTGGGTGAGCGCAGGTGAGGCCACTTATCGATGTTCTCACGTTAGTGTCCTCGCTCCTCACCAACGGCTCTTGCCTGAGACCTCACAGCCCAAAAGCCATGCAGATGGTCAACACATTACCGGGGTGACCTGGGGAGGAGTGTCGGCTGGATTCATCCTTATCTCCTCCTCCAGGTGCTGCAGGGCAGGAGGTCAGCACACCCTCCACCGGCCCCGTGCACGCTCCCTGCCTGCCTTCCCCAGGCCCATCTGCTTGAGGAGAATGCTTGAGCCCCTAGGCCTACTGGCCTTCCCCTCAAACTGGAGAATAGTGTGCTCACCGCCTTGACCTGCCACCCCGAGTGGGACAAGACACTCACCTGGCACCTGGTCATGCCCAGGCGGGAGCACAGCAAATGCTGCCTGCTGGACAGGTCGAGGCAGCCTATGACCAGGCCAAAGGAAAGTAAAAAAATAGGTTGTTTATCACTTAAAAAAAAAAAAAAAAAAAAAAACTAACCTCATACAGGAAGTATGCAAAAAGAAAGAAGAGGAGGAGGGAGAGGAGGAGGAGGAGATGGAGGAGACAGAGGGGAAGAAGAAAACACAGCCCTGCTGCCATGCTGACAGGGGCACTTCCAGGGCACACGTTTGGTGCGGGCAGACCTGCTGCTAGTTTCCATCCCTGATTGTAGGGGTTGGGAACGGGAGGGGCTTACAAATGACAGGACAGAGCAAGGAAGGGGGCCGAGGGTCATGAGGCGCAGCCTGGCAGACAGGGCAGTGTAGGTGTGCGACTGTCCCAGCCAGAGGCAGAGAAGAAGATGCCTAAGATGGAAACAGCCCACGGGGATCATCCTGCCCACCTGCCTCTCCTGCCCGCGTCTGCCTTCCTGTGTGCTTCAGGTTGAAGACACAGGAGCAGCTAGACTGTGATCCTCTCCCACCCGCCCCCTCCAGGATGCACCCAACAGCAGTGAGTGGGGAGACACCCCATCCCTAGGGAGACACCTCATCCTGGCCTCCCAGCCCGGGGCCCTGCAGCCCCGCAGGACAACCGGCTCTCAGTGGGTTTGCTTTAAGGACACGGAGGTAACCAAGGCAGGCAGGAGATGAGCAGGTGCAGCACACAGAGCCACTGGCCCTCTCTGAGATGTGGCTCAGCTGGATTTTAAAAAGAATTCTCATCCTCCAAGAGTGAGAAGAGGAAAACAGGGAGGCTGGGACATTTCCTCTTTCACGGCAGGGACAGGAGGAGGGCGGGAACAGGAGTCCTATAGGGTGTGCTCACACCGACAGGCATTTCAGATCGTACATCGCGATCAAAGAAAGCCAAGGTCTTAAAAAAGGAAGAAAGACAGAAAGAAAAGAAAAAAGAAAAAAAAATCGCACACCAAAATCTCAAAATAGAACCAAAACCTGCAAATCATATTCAGGAGTGGCCGGGGAGCCCAGGCTGAAGCATCGTGTTGAAAGGTTAATAATTTTCCTACCGAAACTGAATGTGGGTTGTGAAAGAACATTAAAATGAAGAAAATTTCCCCGTGGCTGCTATTTTATTATCACCAAAGCCATCAGGTTTCAGTTTGAATTATTTGTATTTATTTGTGAAAACAAAGATTAAATAAGTAAAAACATAGACCTCATCCTAATTATTGCTCAGGAGTGTGTCATTTTTAAGAACAAAAACAAAACCAAATAAAAACACACACACACACAAACAACAAGACCATCTCACACACTCGAGGCAGAAGTCCCAGCAGCAGAGGAGGGAGGATGCTGTCTCCTTCTGCCCTTTGAAAAGCTGCATTGTCTCCTGTAAAATCTAATATTTGTTTCCAGTCTGTGAGGAGAATATGAGAGACAGTGTGTACTTTTAGTTATTAAAATTTTTGACAACTGTGTGCTCAGGTAGATAAATGTTTGGTTTGTTTTGAAACTGCAGACTGTAATTTTTGTTTTACATTTGCAAAAGTGTAGTAACAGCCTTATAATTCCTTGCTTAACACTTAAACAATGGAATTCCAGTGCTGCTTTAAAAGATCAAATGATGAGCTGGGAGACAGTGCCGGGGAGCCTGGGTGAAACGTGGGCTGTAGGTGCAAAGCTGGGTTTTAACCCAGACTTGTCTCACATGCCAGGTGAGCAGCGTGCCTTCTGAACTGTGAAAGAACTCCCACTCGATGAAATGGTTAATCAGAATCTCCGGGTGAGCACAGCTTCTGTTCGTGTACTTCCAGCACAACATAAACACCAGAATGAAAAAAATAACATGCAAAAAGCCCTTCAGTGGTCTCACATCACCGAACAAACTGTTTTTCTACCTATTTTGTGTTGCTGGCTTTTGTTATCAGCCCAATCGGCAAATTGTGGCCAATTTTGTCATGGGTTAAGCAGACATTTTGTTCCCAAACTGCTTTCAACATTTTAGCTACCAAATACAGTTTATGAGAAATTGAACAAGCCACAACACAAACAGAAAAGGTACCCGTTCTTACCAAATTAACCCCTTTTTAAGCAAATTGGCACACTCACATAAAATATTTTTTTTAAAGAATTCTAGTAAATTGAAATTCTGAGACAACCTAATTAAACTTTCCTGGAAAAAAAAATAATAATGAATGATTAACCTACTGACTGGGTTTTGAAACTAA